TTTACTAAGCTTTTCCATTTGTACTTCTTGTTTCCTTTCTTGTTCCAGTTGCCACTGCTGTAGTCTCTCTTCTTGTTCATTTTCTTTCTCCTCCAACCACTGCTGTAGTCTCTCTTCTTGTTTATTTTCTCGTTCTTCTTGTTTCTTTTCTTCTTCATCCAACAACTGCTGTAATCTCTCTTGTTTATTTTGCTGTTCGAGCTGCCATTGTTGCAGGTTTTCTTGCCACTGCTGTAATCTCTCTTCTTTTTTCTTTTCTTGTTCTTCTTGTTTCTTTTCTTTTTTCCTCCAACAGTTGCTGTAATTTCTCTTCTTGTTTTTCTTCTCGTTCTTCTTGTTTCTTTTGCTGTTCTTTTAATGCTGCCATCAAATCTGCTAAGCTATAGTTTGATTTGCCACTTCTGGTTTCCATTTTTTTTCCATCCCAAAGAGTCATTTATTGACTTTATACAGATGAAGGAAAAGGACGCTGCCAATATTTAAAAAACAATAAACACAAAATTAGAAGCAGATGGAATTTTATTGAGTGATTGTTGTTCACAATGTTAAGATAATGCTGCTGTCATGTCAGCTCATCTGTCAGGCGTTCAACAAAGAATTCTGAACAAAAATCCCAAAACAGTGTTTATAAACTGTGACAACCATAGTTTGAACTTATTAAGTCTTCATACTGCAAGTCTGGAAACAACAGTTATTACCTTTTTTTTTTTGGTATGATTGAAGCTATTTATAATTTCTTTGCTCATTCAACAACTCGATGGGACAAACTGCAGCAGGAGCTTAAGATCTCTGTCAAGCGTGAATCAAAAACACGGTGGAGTGCAAGAGAAAAGGCAGTAAAAGTTGTATATGAAAAACTGGATGAATTGCTAGGACTGTTAGAGCAATTAAGTGAGAATGGCAACACGGCTGAAACAAAATGTGGTGTTCATAATATTCTGCAACGCATGCTTAAATTTGATTTTCTTGTACTTTTGCATTTTTGAAGAAATCTTTTATCATCTATCAATCGAATGCAGAAACGTCTTCAGTTACTTTTAGAGAAGCAGCTGCTGATCTTGATTCTTTGAAAGAGAAATTGATAGAATCACGTGAAAAGTCCTGTCAAGAAGTACTTAAAGTAGGCAAGAATCAATGTGAAAGATAGGGATTGACCATTGAATGAAGAAAAATACGTTGTAAACGAATGCCAGGTGAAAATGCAGCTGATGCTGGATTGACTACTGAACAGGAAATTTGTCGCATCATTAAGGATGTTATTGGTCGCTTGATTATAAAAATAACAGGAAGATTTTCTCGCTTACTAGATTTAGATTCATGGTTTGGATTTTTACTAGATGTGCAAAATATTGTTTCTAAAGATTTGAAAGACGGAAAATTGCAAGAAAAATGTTCTGAATTAGCAAAGACCTATCCAGATGATATTGATGGATCAGAATTGTACAGAGAAATTAAAGAATGTTGATAAGTAAAAGCACACAGACCGATTTTCCTGAACTAATGGTTGCAACTGATTTGCTAACATTTATAATTTCATATGGTGAAGATGTTTTCCCAAATTTAAGAATTGCATTGCAGATTTTGTTAACAATTGGGGTTTTTATT